CAGCCAAGGACAGCAATGTCCACCTGGATTAACATGTGGAGAGGAAGGAATCCGCACAACCATTCCTGAAGCAGTAGCAAGTATGAATCTGACATGGGAGATACAGGCGAGCACTGAAGGGCAGGCAAACGGGCAACCTCTGCAGCCAAGGAGGAAATACCTTGGAAATGGAAAATCATCCTCCTTCCCAGAACTGTTCGGTGACTCACTCGAGGAGGAAGGAATTTGCAGTGGCAGAGGCTGGTTGAAATGATGGATCATCCTGACAGCAACAGCAGGGAATGCATCGCTTTAAGAAACTGGAACTCTCAAGGCTTATTCCGGTTAGCAGGAGGAAGCATTATGAATAGCTGATGGAACTCCTTGGTTCTGCAGCTATCCAACAATGAGGTCTTGCAGCCAGACCCTCTGCTAAGGAGAATACTATAGGCACGGAAAGGTGCTTAGTACTAGGATTCAGAGACATCCTGCATGGCAACCAGCCTAATGTACTAGGGACAGAAAAGTACAATAACAGCACAAGTCCATGACCAGAAAAGAACTGGAACCAGCCCAGGACATCATCATTAGAACGAGAGTAATCACCATGCTGGAGATAATGAACTAAATGAAGCTCAGTGTGGAGCTTCCTGCACACTTCCCTCCCAAGGGTTGGAGCATCCAGAGCCAAGCCTGGCTCCACACACCTCACTTCCTCAGCACTCCTCTGGGAGACTGGCAGGCTCCCGTCCATGTTCTTCTGCTGCTCCCACCATCACTCCCAGCTTGTACCAGCTCAGTGCAGAACCCCTTCCTTAGAGACTTAACAGCGCTTCTGCACAGAGAAGCAAGGATGCACACATTTGGCCAGCCTCATTAACCAAGCCAAACATGGCAGGCGCCAGGGCTTCCCCTTGCGCCTCCCCGCTGGCACGTCTAAGGAATGCTCTGTGTGTTGTGGGTTGGTGGGGAGGAGGCCTTCACTGCTGGACGAGGCAGAGAGCACACAGGCTTCAGGAACTGTAAATGCCTCTGCCCCTCGGTTGTTCCCACAGGAAGTGGTCCCTGACATCCCTCCTTGCCTGGCCCTTCCTGAGGAGAAAGCAGGCAGTAAATCTGTGCTGCCTGGTGGGGCTGGCCAAAGACACCGGGAGTGCCTCTGGACAGAGGAGCCCACAACATACACCTGCAGCCCAGTTATCTTCTCAGGAAAGTGGGGGTAGAATGTGCTTGCTGAAAACTCCAGAGGTAGCACCAGGGCCACCTTGGCAGGCATTTGTGGAAGCCTGCATAGAGTCTCCCAGAAATGTTGGACCACAATGCCCACAACCCCTGCTGGTTGCTCATCAGGGCTTATGGGAGCTTCCGTTCAAACCACTTGGATGACATGGGCTGTCCACAGCCTAAGACTGTCTTAACAAGTCCAAGGGTGCCTTTCCTGCTGCTACTGCCAACAAACATGCTGCCCCATTCAGACACCAATGCCTGCTTTCCTTGGTGTCCCACTCCGCTTGTTTCAGCCTGTGCCCTGAATGCTTGCCTGGGGAAGGCCTGTGGCAAAGCGGTGCTTGCAAACTGAGGTCATGCTGACCTCTGCTGGTGAGAGAAAGCTGCTGCACCAGTTTATTTATTTATTTACTTTAATCAAACACAAAATTGAGACAATGTAGGCTTCACATTAAAAATCCTTGTACTGCAACAGTTTTCTGTGTGAAAACTTGCACGGACATCTCAAATTACAGGGTGCACGTGCTGTACACAGCCCCTGTGCCACATCTTCAATTTGCAATGTGAAACTGAAGCCTGTTAATTCGATGAAGAACTTTACTAAAGATGGTACTGAATTAACAATACTAATGAGACTATCAGAAACAGGGTACCGTTTATCTCCTAGCTACAGTTTGATCCTTTCACCACTTTCACGAAAATGATATGCAGGTCTGTCAATTGCAGGCAACCGCTTGTGCCGGAGAGAGTACCTCTGCTTTGAAAAGCCATCTGGCAAAGATATTCCGCCCACCCTGTTGTAGAGGACGGCTGAACTCCTGGAGCAGCATCTGCTAGCCAGTGCTTAGCACAAGTCAGCTGAAAGTATAAACCCATTTTCAGGGCTGGCTGTACTCTGTTCTTTACAAATGCAAGTTCTGCTGCCAAGGTACTAGATTTTCTGCCAAGAAAAATGTCTTGTATCAATTAAGCAAATACTTTGCCAAATATTTTGCATAATTTATTCCGACTCTGATAGTGATGGAAAATCTTATTTGCCGTCATTATTCTTATTTTGGCTTCATACATTACCCATATATTGTCAAGTGTTGCCACCCAGCTGTAAGGCCTAGAAATGTGCTATTAAAAAGTGAATTCTAAACTCTCGAGAAGCCAAATGCTGCATTCAGAACTTGCATCCTGTGCTTTCTCTCTCTCGGCCCAATCACGTCTAGCCCTGCACACTTTCTAGGTCCCACCCATTACTCTCTAAACAGATTGCTAGTTTGGTTCTCATCCCTGCCCTCCACCAACCCACCAACAGAACAGTGCCCTAGTACCCTTAAAGCAGAAAAGGGGAGACTGGTGGCCCTAGCTGTAATGCAGAACGCAGTTCAGAGTTCTAGAATGATCTGTTCTGTTCTAGAATGATCTGTCTGCCTCCCACAGCCAGCAGGGTGAAGAAAGATGGCAAGAGTGAGAGGAAAAGAGAGTGTCAGAAAGTGAGAGGGGGAGTGATCCTGTTCTCTTCCTTTGCAGCCCCTAACACATTCCTTCGCCGGCCAGCCAATGGGGCCCTTGGCAGAAAATAGGCCCCTCACTCCAGCCTTAAAGTTGTTTTTAACACACACACACACACTGCATCTTCAGAGAGAGGAGATGATATAAGAGGACAAACTTTCTTTTACTCGAAGCTAAATGAGCTCTGTGTCAAACAAAACAGAGCCCACTCATCTCTCCCCTGGGGCACAAGCCAAATTAAAAGAACTGTGGCTATCATAACTTCAACCCATTTCATGCAAGTTATGGAAACCTAGCTGTATGTCTGTTTTATTGTACCATTATGCGTGCGTGTTGCACATAAAATGGCAGCTGTGTTTTGCTCTGAACAAGCTCAGTTTACAAAGTAACAGGAAACCAGCCTGCTGAAAGCACAGAATTCAAATACACCTTTTGTGAATTTGCTCTTAGTAACTATGTGTTTGCCAAATGTTAAATAGCTCTTCCTGCTTAGAGGAATTGTCCACCTGCCCATGAAAGGCCCACAGCATTCAGAGACCCTCTTTGATGTGTTATGTTAGCTAAAATTCATGCCAGGGAGAAATGAAACCCAAACCAGAGGAGATATGAAAAATGAGGTACGAGTAGGCCAACGCATGGGGATAAATGACATAAAAAGGCTTAACTGCCACTGAACTTTCTTAAATGAAGAAAGACATTCCAAGATGGCTGGGGTTTTTTTTAACAAGCAGTATTATCAGCTTTTCACATGTATCCCCTATGCTGTGCTGCTGAAAATGAAATCAGACGTATCCTTGCTTCTGACTGAAATTCTTTTTTGGAAACTGACTTATTAACTCCAGTACAATGGTATTCAAGCTTTTCTCTTGGAATTATACTGAAGGAAAAGCCAGACTCTGAACTGTTCGCTGGTTTCTTCATTTTTGATGTCTAATGCTGTGCTTGCTACGCTATTTTAAAATAAGTATCAATCTGCAACTATTCAGGGTCTGTAGGCACATCTAGCTATCTGAAAAAAGCATGGCTGGTCTCAAAGGACAAGTAACCTGCTCAGAAGACTGAATGTGAGACAGAGGTAGGGTCAGAGCTCCAATACATTACACAGACTACTTTGATGACAGAGTTTGCGTACCAACAAGAAACAATTTCACCACTTTCTGTTACTCCTGACTCTCATCCAACCAATTCAGTCCCCCCCTCATTTTTCTCCCACACCCTGGCTCCCCACACATAGACATGCGCCTTCATTCTCTCACATGCACTAGTACTCCATATACATATATCCTTCACGCATGTAGCATGAGAATATGCAAATCAGCCCCTTCCCTCTTCACTGCAAGCACATGACAAATCATACTTGCAGTTTTTCAGAAGTCCCCCCCCCACTCCTGGCGCCCTTCTCTCCCCTCTCGCAAACATGTGCAGCCCCATCCATTCTGATGCAGGAGCATACAATGCCTCCCAATTTCCCAGGCTGCTCCCACCTGGTTCCTCCAGCATCCTGCTGATTTCCTTCCCTGACCGGCTTTCTATTGCCTCTTCCAAGACCCTCCCCACTGTTTAGCTTAGCCCCTGCCATCTTTCCTCACTTCCTCTTTCCTTTCCTTGGTGGCTGCAGGAAAGCAGAAGTCAGCAGCTGCCCACCGTCTTTATTTCCTAAGAAGGCCTGAGCTCCACCTGTGACCCCAGAAGAATTAGCAGGAAAGGAAGATGATGGTGGCTGAAGCCCTCACTTCTCTTTAAAGGGATCACAGCAGCTAGTAAGAGATTATTAATACAAATTAAAAGTGGTCTGGGTTGGGTACCTTGGCAGGGTCCAAAAAAGGTTTGGGGGCCCATGAGTGCATGCCTACAGCTTAAAACATTCCTCACATTTTGTCTGTGGATTTTTCACATTTTATGCCTCTTCTAAACTTAAGAACAGAATGGGCTCTTTTGCTGCTGAGTGATTGACTGCCGTCACTGAGGACCTCAAGGATCCAAGGGGAACAAACTTCACTCCACAGAAGAGTTACTGGTTTCCCTGACATCCCACTGACCAATGGATTGGCTTGCAATGACAAAATCCCCAGTGCCAACTGCACTTCAGTTTCCCTTCTCTCCGACCAGTAACTGACTACACATTGATCATTATGGCTATTTCAAAATACAGCCCACAACTAACTCAAAATATAGGGAGTTGGCCATTTGTCTCACCTGGAGAACTCTGGAGCCCATTCCCATTAAGAAAGGAAGATTCAAAGGTCTACTTCCCAGCAACCCAGACAACAGCAGAGCCAGCAAAATTCACGTACCAAAAGCCTTCTGGGGCTCAGTGAGCTTCAGTGTGAAAGTGCGGCCTTTGGGCAGATCCTTGAGCATTTTGGCAACCTCATAATGTCGACAGCCAATAAGGCTCTGACCATTGATGGACTCGATCATGTCTCCCACGTTGATGACTTTGATCCGGTCAATAATGCTCCCTTCCTTGATTCTCTGTCAACAACAGGGGAGATAGTCAGCATGCAAATGCCGTGTGTGCACATGCAAGAGACAGAGAAGCTCATGAAACATTAAGCCAATCGCAGAATTATCCTTCTAAATGCTTTGCCCTTAACTGGCTTTAACTAGGTGACTGGTGTGCTATTATCAACCCTGTGGTTAGTCTTTTGCCTAATTATACAACCTGTCCCTCTGTGAAGTCGGGGGACTGCCTCTGTTGTCAAGCCTCCAAGTGGCAGAGACCACGTACCTATAAGCAACAAGAAATCAAATCGAATGTCCATAAAGTTAGTATCTCTGTCTTGCCCCCTTCTACCTGTTTTTGTCTCGGAATCCACTGACACCTGAAACCATGGATATGATTCAGTGCTGCGCCTGAAACTTGCAAATCATGAGTCATGATTATACTTATATTTCAATTGACTCACAGTGGATGAGAACAGCGGCAGAACCAGTTTGGCATCCTGTTTTTTGCAGAATCAATTGTCAAATTCCTTGCAAAGGCGGTATAACCACGCCCCACCAAGCAAGGTTATACATCTGGAGGCAGGCTAGGAAAGCACTTTTGTATCATCAGACATGAAACCCAAGAAACTCAGGCCTTCCCATATCCCTGTAAATACTAAGTTTTCTGTTTCCTTGCCAGTCTGCTCATATGGTACAAGACGGTAGTAGCAGTCCTCTTTGTGTAAAGTACTCCTTTCAGTAGGGAGTTGCCTGTAAGAGTTGAGGTCTTTCTGGGGTGATGACCAAGACAGTTGCTTGTGTGTTGGGACTGCATGTGACAGTATGGTAACATCCCTATACCAACACTAGAAATGTAATCAGCAAGTTTTGCCTCCTGAAAGAAAGTTTAAAAAAGGGGAGGCAGAGAAACTGCAACTAGAACTAGAAAGGACATTACTTAGAACAGACCCTTGCTGCTGCTGAAACTAAAGCCAGCAGACACAGCTGACTTGGATAAGTTCTGAAGATGGTTTGTTTTACAAGATCTGCTTTGGGAAAGATAAGAAGATTTCTGTTCTAAGACAGCGTATGTAAAGAGCTGAAATAGTGATACCTTACGTTAAATAGTAAACACTGTAGTGTTACGCCATTTTTTCAAAGGCCAGATCTGGACCCTCCCTCTGATCATATATGGTGACAATACACAGTCACTTCTAGGTGGAGATGCAGATGAACCCCAGGTGGAGCAGTGGAACTGTTCATTAACTGCCTGATAGGCATTGTAACACTCTTGACTGCGACCACATGAAGACTGCTGTCCAGAGATACAAGACTGGTCTCCTTGCTACTAGCCCCTTTGCTCCTCCCTCATGTCGTGTTTTCCAGCTGCTCTGACAGAAAGGAAAATATTTAATGCTCATCTCAGACCTACCTCTTATTTCTAGCAAGATAGCAAATATGGGCACAAATGAATACATTGTCTGCAGTTTAAGGGAAATCTGGTAAAATTCAATGCTCAGGACCCCAACAGCAGCCTTCCCCAACCTGAAGCACTCGAGATGGTTTGACCTGCAACTCCTAACAGTTCCAGCCACCATGACAAAAAGTCAGGCATGATGGGACTTGTAGTTCAAAAATCTTGGGGAGTGGGCATCAGGCTGAGAAAGGCTAGCCTGCAGGGGCATACTACCAAACATGACATAGAAGGGACTGTGTGTGTAGAGTGGACACTGCAATTTTCTGCCTTAAGAAAAGGCAGACAATTTTCTGCTTTCAAAATAATGAAAGCAGAATGGGCTTCTGTATTTTCAAGAACATAACTAGCAGATACTTAGGTTATGTACCCACTGTGCCAGGTGAGCATTAATAAAGCTTCAAAGAGGTTTAAGGCTCCAGCAAAGCAAACTTCTGCAGAGGCATAGCTCTACTTCAGAAAGGACTAGGTCAGAGGCAGAGACCCCTTCTTCTGTTAAGAGCTGCATCTTCTCATGGAATAATCTGTCGGGGTCTGCATGCCAGTGGCTGGAAGGGCAAAAGCCACTGGAAGGTGAGACACAGCCAAAAGTGGGCAGACCTTTTCTCTCCCTTCCTCCCAGCCATTTTTGCTGAGGGAGAGAGAGAGAGACTGCTCTCACAAGAGGTCTGAAGTGATCGCTTGCCAAAGGTCACATGAAATGATGCCAAGGGCAGCAGGTTGTCCTCCCTGCTCTATGAACATATAACCTCTAAAGTAGAATCCAATCATCCCATAGACTCCAGGAATTCCACATTCCTTTATAGTTCTTTTCAGCCTCATTAGTTAAAAACAAAGTAAAGTAATTTACCTGGTATTGTCAGGTGAACAAACTTCTGTAATCAGTACTACAGATTCATTTCATAGTGCCTGACCATGTCCCCCAGTCTATAACTCTATTACCATAAATGATCTGGGATAGTATTAGCAGCTTGTGAAGACACACAGATATCAAGCCCTTTGTCTTTTGTCAAAAGTTCAACTTGCAGGAAGTTCAACTTTTTAAAATAGAAAAACTGTCATTCTCTTAGCTTTGCTTATTAGCTTTAAATATGAAATCCAGATAGTAATGCCAAACAAGCTGTCCATCACATGTCTAATTGTCAATGCTCTTTCCCCAGAACAATGGCATAAAAATCTTCAATTGTTTTATCTAAGAACAGTGGAACAAAACATCTAGATTCTTGACAAATCAAACCCTGCACCCTAAAACATGCAAATAAGCAAATTTAATTTTATTAAATTTAATATTTATTTTTTGAGCTAAACAATTTAGGACTTTTTCAAAAATATTGTACCAGGGAATTTTAAGAGTATCAGGAACAGAAACAGGGTCTAGCTAGTTAAGCATCCTGCTTCCAACAGTGGTCAGCCAGATCCTCTCGAGAAGCTTACGAGCAGATCTATAGTGCCTTAGAACATGAAATTTTCATTAAACTATCATGGTTAAAAGTTGTGGGTAGTACTGTCATGGATTTGTCTAATTTCATTTTAAAGTCACTGACCTACCCTGTGACAGCAAATTAAATAGGTTAACTATGCATTACTTTCTTTGTGTCACCTACTTAAAATATTGCCAATTTTAGTGGCAATATTTTAAGTAGGTGATTCAAAGTACTAGTATTATGAGAAAGTAAATTATCTATCCGTTCATCACACCCACCTTACTTTTATTTCTAAACAGCATGGTCCCCAAACCCTTAGTACTTCTGAACTGCTTGATTTCTTACCTCTCTAAACCCTGAAGCGACAGAATAGCCCAATCATCATGTTTCAGGCAGAAAAGATCTTACTCAGGTGCATTATGAAAACATGAATGTTACAGGATCACCTGATTAAAAAGAATGCATGAGTGGATGGTGGGAGAGGCTAACTGATCTTTGCTAGGAATAGGTGGGACTAGTTCCTGTAAAGACCTTAGTTTCAGAAAGGCTCAGTTCAGACAAGAGACTTGGGTTACTGAATGAGGATTAAGGTAAACATTGAGCTTAATGCCCTCTTGGGAAAATGACTCTAAAATCTAAGCATGGAAAGGGGTTGCATTTTAGCCTTTCTGAAGCTGACAGGTTAGAACAGCCACCATAAGCAACTTGATAGGCAGATCAAATACATTTTTCAGAAGTTATGGATTAAAAACCTGCATAAAACCAAAAACAATTCAACAGGAAGCAGATGTGGGACAAACCGGAGCTAACTAAAGATACCTTAATGAACGCATAGCCAGCACCATTGTCTGTGATGGTCAGGCCCAGAGCCTCCTCAGACTTGAACACCTCGATCTCCTTCCTCTGACCCTTCGTGTGTGCAAAGATGAAATCCTCAAGGCCAATCTGACCGCCCAACAGCTTGTCCATGTCCACTTTATGGGTATTTAAGGTACAGAACATAACCTAGGAAATATCAAGAAAGCAACTCTTAGAAGCTGATGCTATAGGCATTTTCAAGCTAATACTTAAAGTGCACGGTGCGACTGTTCCTTCAAGTCCCTGATGTGATGGACCTGCATGGGCTTTTGGTTGCCCATCTCCAGTTTGGATCCTCAGATCCTAAGACTACCACTCCAAACTCATTTAAACTGTGTACCTCCCAACAGACAAAGTCATACATGGAACACTTGCAACACTGAGTGAGCATTATCCAGCTGTATCATCATCATGCCTACCTCAACTGGTGAGATTTTAAAGGCCTCAGCAATTTTGTTGTACAGTTCTTTGACATTGGTAAAACCCTCAATCCGGCCAGTGGGACTTCCATGGGCCAGCTGGGTGTGGAACACCAGCCGAGGGCGAAGACTGGCTGGTGGTGGTGGAAGACCAGGCTGAAGCGCTGCTACCCCCCCTGTACTGCCCAGCCCCGCCCCGCCCAGCCCACTGCGAATGGGCTCAGCTTCCTCATTCTCCACCAGTGGTGGGGCCTTCTTTCGACGGCCTAGTCCAAGTGGCATGAGGGAGAAGTGGCCAGTCAGCAGCAAGGGTCAGTCACTCAAGATTTGGACCTAAAGGTGAAAGAAACACAAACAAGATCAATAGGAAACAGCATGAAAACTCTTTAGGACATCCAATAATAAACAAAAATACACGTTCGAAGGTAAATGAAAAGACAGGCAGGGTTCGAGAAGTGGTGTTATTCCACTTCTAGGGAGTTATTTTAACATTAACCAGAGTTAAGGGAGAGAGAAAGTTGGGCAAGAAAGAGACAGCGCTTGTTATCTCTAGAAGACATCAGCTATATGTCCATGAGATTTGGTCAGGTTGACTTAGTTAATGGCTGCATTCACACATAATGCTAAACCATGGCATGTGGTTGCTGTGTGGTTACCACTCTGCATAGTTTCTTTCATAGTTGCTGGGTTCAGACAAGCACATTGGTTACATGCTGCATGGCTGCCACCCTTCCCCATCATTCCTTCTAATGGTAGCAGGTAACTATCAGCCCTGCAGCTGAAATTTAAGCCCAGATGTGCAACTCCTGCCTACTTTGTCTGTCTCTCCCTCTTTGGTCCAAACACTCCCCTGGGCGTGTTCTCAGACAGATGCTCCTGGTCCCTCCCTCTGCTGCTCAGCTGGAGCAACCACTTGCTTACCAGAGAAGCACTGCTGCTCCACAGTAGCGCTAGAGTAGCAGTCCTGTGTTGCTGAACTCCGCCAGTCCACGGGCACACCCACCCACACCCTGGCCTCTTCCACACCCCTCCCTTGCTGCAGATGTGTCTATGCTCCCCTGCACTCAGGACTCGCACGTGCTGGAAGGAAGGGGTTATCTCCCCACTGCAGTCAAGTACGCAGGGCATCAGTGCAGGCAGGCGGTTCCATCCCCACCTGCTCCTGCCCCATGGCTGCAGCCAGCCCTGTCTGGTGAAACCCACTCCCACTCTCAGAAGCCCCTTCCCCCACCTCTGCCTGCTCTGCGATGCATGGAAGGGGCTCGCCCTGACACCCCCTCCCCTGTGCCAGGTCATGCTGAGAGCAGCCTAATCTGGTGCTGCCCCTTGCCCCTCTCTAATACATGTCTTTATTTCTGTAGCGTCACAGGGACTCGGGGGTGGTAGGGGAAGATGACTGTGCCAGAGAGAAATCATACCACGGTCAATAAATCTAGCAGTCTTTTCTGGTGGGGCATAAGCAAGCATAAGTGTTCAGACGCAGCAAGGGGAGGCAACAGCAGGACTTGCTGAAAGCCCCAAGAAATGCCAGGGACAAGACAGGAGAGGAGGAGAGGGCAGGGGAGGACCATGGGCTTTTGGGGAAGCTTGCCCTGTTGGTGATGCTCTGCGCGTTGCTCATGTGCTCCTCTTGTGTAGGGGCAATTTGCAGAGGGTAAGCAATGCTTCTGTCAGAAAAGCACTGACAAAGCAGCTAACGAGCAATCTTTCTCTGAACACGAGCAATTAAATTAAACAGAAGTGTCAAACACAGCTGTCTCCAAGGTCTCTGCTGGAAGTGATGCAGTTTGCTTTTCCTCTGTCCTCCAGTAGGCCCTGGGGGCACTGGAGAAGGCAGAGGCAGGAGGATATGGAGCAGCCAGTTGGCGCACAGCTAGAGCTGATACCCTGATTGCTCTAGACAGATCTGGACAGTGGAGCATGTAGCAGGAGTGTCTCCTCTAGCAGGAGCTGGTTTTTTTCACAGGACACTATGGTAGAAACCATGTTTCTGGGTTCACACAATCAAATAAGCCATGGTAAAGCATGAAGGTCATAGAACAGACTATTGTTTCTCTCTCTGATTACACAGAAACCAAAAGTACCATGAAGTAAGTCTTTGACAGGATTCAGACAACATGACAGATTAAGCAATGGTGGTTTCCACCGTGTTTAGCATTATGTCTCACAAGCTTGCCTTACAAATTTACAAAGTTACAACACACTGACCACAAATATCTACAGCAGGCCTGCAGATGCACCTCGAGCACGTCAATAGCCTGAAAAGATGAGAGAAAGGAAGATAATAAATCTTTTTTAACTTATAAAAGCTTTTCAAGCTGTCCAATTGAAGACTTTTTTTTACAGCATATAATCAAATGGGCATACAATATTTGTCTCTTGGGAACATTTACCCTCTTGCAGAAACTATGGGCTATCAGTCTATCAGGTTCCAGCTACTTTAAACTTTTTTACAAAAGCTATACAAATTCAGATTCAAAGGTCCTCGTTTTGCACACATATCACAGAGTGGGTGAAAAAGAGCAGATCTCTGCTCCATGGGTGCCTGTATTTATGCACTGTACTGCATTGGCCTCTGCTTGAAAGTATAATGAAGCAATTGTCACAGCAAACTTTATCATTGGAAGATGGAATGTAGAAGACAGTTGCTGGCCTGGACAACTACGAAGTGACGAACTGCAATAGCATCAGTTTCCTCTTTATAATTGGCATGCATGATATACACTGGAGTTGCTGCTAGACAGTATTAACATGTATAATCATCTTAACAAGGTGTGGTTAGCTCACCCTCCTAGACATGTGTAATCTTTATTGATGTCCTACTTTTGGAGCTTTCTTTGAGTGAACAACAGAGAAGAAAAAAACTAGAGAATGTAGGAGCATGGATATGGATTTATATCCTTTGGCTGTATTATAGCTGATTTTATCTGCTGACCTTACTGTACTGAATTTGATCTGAAATCACAAGTTTCTAGTTGTGCTTGCTGAAAGGCTTACAGCACAGGTCCTCAAACTACGGCCTGCAGGACGGATCCGGCCCGCCATGGCCATCCATCCGGCCAGCGCCGCTGTTTGCCGCCTGCGTGCGCGCTTGCTGCGCGGGCAGGGAGATGGTGGCTCGCTCCCTCAGAGATGGTCTCCGAGTGAGCAAACCGCTGCCTGCCTCCTGTACAGGTGTGCTTGCTGCTGCCTCGCAGCATGGGGAGGGGAGCTGGTCAATTGCTCACTCGGAGAGATGGTTTTAGACTCGCTGGGAGATCTCTGAGTAAGCAAGTCACCGCCGCGCGCACCCGATGCTGCCTCGCGCGTGCCCGACAGCACCTCACCAGTTTGTGCCCCCAGGCACCCCCACCTCACTGGCCCACGACTGTCACTGCAGCCTTTCAACTGCCTCCCTATTCAAAAGGTTTGAGGACCCCTGGCTTACAGGGTACTAGGATTTTCAAACACACACATTTATACTTGCTTACAAGTTGAGGGCTGCATTGCTTAACCAAGTTTATGTTCTACTGATGGGAAATTACACTAGATGTCCTAAATTGCCATTAAGATGAATCAAAGAAATTGCTATAAAGAAATTGGAGATATAAGAAAAGACATTCCTTTTAAATTTTGGATCTGTGATTTAAGTGAAAGATATTTTGGCAACCACTGTGTAGAACCACTGTTGTGTTGTTTTTGTTTTGCTCAATAAAATAATCAAATGGATATGTAAAACAAGTTTTGAAACTTCAGCTCTTTGCAAATTTTACATTAACCCAGGGAGAAGGAAATAGCAAGACTATTCGAAGAAATTCATTAATTTGACAAACTGATTTGACTTGTTACATTATCTGAATTTCGTGGCTCCATGATTGTGAGCTGCCCAGAGGTGCTGTGGCACGATTGGGAAGCATACAAATTTTTAAAATAAATATTCCATAGGTGAATCATGATGGCCAGACTGTTTAGCTGCTAATATCATGTAGTGGACAAAAAAAATCAAAGTTTTTTTTTAAATTAAAGATAGGATTTTTAAAATTTAAATTGGATTTTTAAATTTAAATTGAAATTTTTAAAAATAAAATCCTTTTGAGGAAAAATATATCTAGTTTTATATTTAAGATACATTATAGTCCAAAGGTTATTCACCATGAAATAAGGATTAGTTTTTAATTATGTAGCATGAGGCTATATATTCAATGCAATGTTAATTTTTTTAGTAAATGGATTCCATTAATCCATTCACAATGTCATGCTCTTCCAGTGGCTTTTGTAAGATTATTAGGCAATTATCTAGAATATATTATCATAGATGCTTGGTTTTATCATTCTCAAAATTGTAACTGTGTGTCTGCAGAGATCACATGCCTCTCATTCACAGCACAAATCTCATAAAATAAACATTGAGTTGAGAAAAAGACCTTAATCCTATCATTTCTTTAATCTATGTACACAGAATCAACCCCCTACCTCTTAAGTGCTAAGTTTCAAAAGATTCAATGAATAGAAGATTGTTGGGAGTCAAATAGATCTGCACAAGAAGCTAAAGGTGAGGAGGGAGGGGGAAGAAGTAAAAATGAAAATTAAACAATTTCAGCAGAATATTCCACAAGTCTTTTTGTGTACAGCCTGAGGTTTACTATATTCTTCTTTCCCTGGATCAGAAAATCTATAATAGCACTAGGCAGTAAAAGAGCCCCAGTTTGGGAATATTTCAATGAAGTTTCTCTACCTAAAGGTAAGCCAGGCACGTGTGTATATTATGTAGAAATCCATGATTTCATTCTAGTCTTACTGACTAGTGATTTAAATCAGATCCACCCTGTCATGTAGTCACTTTACTATTTTACTAAACCATAAGTGGCACTTATCTATTTCTGCACGTATTTGCTATTTTGCACAGACTACTGATTGCAGAATTCAAGATTCGGGAAAGCATGCAGGTGCATTATTTTTGTCCATCCTAAAAATGTATATGCTACAAAACAAATCAGGGGAGTGCATTCCAGCACTGAAGGCAGAAAGAACACAGAATAACTAAAGGGAAAAAGAACTTGGTTCATAAAATGATGGAGCATTACTGTGGGGAGAGTCTAGTCAGCATTTACCACTTAAAAAATGAAAGAGTAAGAGAAAGACAGACTATGGATGTTCCCATACTGCTGGAATGCAACAACAGGAGAGCATTTCACTCCTAAAATATTTTTTGAAAATTAATTGAATGAGGCCATTAAACAGTAGTGGCCAACTGGAGGCTGTGACAAGGGATTGGGGAGAGGAATTAATTGTTCCTCACCATTCACATTTCACAGAAATATTCTATTCTGGAAGTTTACTAGTAACAGTAACTGGCTACCAATTGCAAATGCAGTATTCAGTAAGCTTAACAGTTTTAAATTTGCAATTACTATATTTCAGGTGATTATCCCTTGCATGTATGTGAAAAAATACACATGCATTACTTAAATATATGTATGTCCCTGTGTGAAAGGGAACATACAGGAAGTGACAGCAAGACTGAAGATGCCCAACAGTCTTCACAGAAGAGAGCTGAACTCTGTTGAAATATATGCACATTCATCAGCATATCTTTAAGGCTGCAAAAACCAATTAGAGCAGCTTTCCCTGACCAGCTGCTTCCAGATGTGATGTAACACCACTCACAGCACCCTCACTGCTGGAAGTTTATTTCTTATAGGTCTACCTTACACTAGGTCAGACTATTTGACAATCAAGCCTAATATTGTCTCTTCTAAATAGAGTGATTCTCATCACCTGTTACCTGAGCTCGTTAAACTGGAGATTTTTCTGGGACCATATGCAAGCAAAGCATTTCCTCTGTCATTACATTATGGAGCACTAAATAATTTCCTTCATACACATGAATGGTTATCCATTTATGACAATGACATCTGGTGATGACTGGCTGCATGCATGAGCTATCCCAGACTTAGAATCATAGATTCATAGAGCTTAGATGAGAAACCTCATGCTTACTCTGAGATGTGCATTCTCCCTGGCAAAAGCCGCAGAACTAAAGTGGATGGAGCTGCAGCCCCTCCTACACACAATAACTCCCCCCACCCCACCCTTTCACCTCATCTGGTCTCTCACTCCCTTCTTTTTCTCTCTCCTTCTCTTGGTTCCCCCCTTCTCCTCCTGTGCTTGCTCTCTCCCAGCAAAAATGCCTTAGACAAAGCTCCGATTGAGGCCAGTGAGAGCTTTTTTCCCAAAGCCATGTTGCCTCAAAGCAGCGGGCTGCAGGGCCTTGGGAGAGGAGGGTCAGCTCTCCTGCAGGGATTACTTCGAAAACTGCCACTTGCACAGTGGTTATACTTTTTATAAAAGTGTAGTTCTCATGGAGGTGGGCCAGAGGAGAGAGGATGTGAGCAGGATGGGGAAGACACACCCAGCTTAGGGACTGCTGGTTCTCCCACTTCATTTCAAAAACCATGTTTTCAGGCAAGATAAATCATAACAGCAGCTGCTATGTACTACATACAATAATCAAGTGTAGACAAATAAAAAAATATACGTGACTGTATGAACGCACTCTTTGGCTGCATCTGAGACTAAACCCTTTCAGAAGTGAGACACTACGTGTTAAAAAGCCACTGCTCTTTTATTTATTTGATTCTACTTTCATGTCCTGGCATATCTCCATTATTTTTCACAATAGCACATAGTTCCCAAAATGAGAATGAACAAAAAATGGCAGAATTTGATGGGGAACGCACGTCATTATATTTTACCTATGAACTGGACATTTCAAGCTTAAATTCAACACACAAGAAAACTGTTTTACCTTACATCTTATTCTATATTGCATAGTGCTTCCTGATCTGGAACACTCACACCTGTGTGCCTTGCAAACGTGTATAAAAGAAATTATATGTCCCAAAGGCCTTCCTTTACAAAAAGACCAACTAAACAAAGCTGAAGAAATCAGCAAGTAAATACTATCAGCTAAAGATAAACCAATACTTTTTTAATGAAATGGGAATTGACAGTCCAGTCTAGAAGGCTGCATATATGCATAACTTCAAAACAAGCCATATTACCATAGGATTAAAGCAATCTAAAATTTGGGAACAGTCCACAACCAAATACCCTGTTATACCTTTTCGCTCCAAGGACACGGCCTCCTCCTAAAGATAAGGATCTATGAAAACAGAGCAGGACACAGGATCCTAGCATTTCTGCAGATTACATGTTCCCCCCCTCTCAACCAGGCTACAAGAACAAGCAGTTGAAAGGTCTGTCACAGCAAGAACCTTCTAGCTAGGGAGCCTCCAACATCTCTGTTCTGGAATCAGGGCGGAGTATGTCTTTGCAAGTTGATTCAGAGTAAAGAAACCGGCTACAGGGTGTTCCCTAGAGGGTGGGACAGCGGGGGAACTCAGCCAAGCCATGACTGCTGTACACTGAAGAATAGCTCAGTCAAGCTGAGGGGTAAAGCAGCCTAGAGCTTAAGTGCTGCCCTCCTGCTTTCCAACACTTCTAAAAGTAGCTACTTTTAAGTCATATTGGCCATGCAAGTTTCACTGTGGTCTTTCTCATCCCATCATTTTCAGCTCCCAGAGATCATGGCATTACTTTGCATTTCTTCTACCACTTAGGCATCTTTCCCAAAGTCTTTCAAAGAAACCAAGATCTTACTTCCAACTCATTTTAGCTAATGGAATTATCATGTTTCAATTTCAAAGTACTGTTCAGAACACAGTCAATCCCCAAAACCTCAGCCTATCAAGTCTGTAGGCATTTATAAGCCTTCCAAATAATTTCAAACACTTGCTTAGTGCCAAGACAAAGCAGGTATGGATTTTAATTTGTCTAGACAGAAGACAGAGGAGACAAAGTGCTGACAGGTCCCACCCTAAGAGAAATACGTATAGGACTGGCTGTAGTTTCTGAAAATGTCTTTTAACTTCAAGATTTAAAAAAACATTTATTTATGGAATTTCTATCCCACCCCGTTAGCCAGAATGGCTTTTTTAAACCTATAAATGAATTTATTTGGACAGACTAACACCTATGACATTGTACACTGTGAAGCACCCTCGAGAGTTCAAGATTTGTTTTGTTTGAAGCATGCATAATTTTAGGAAAGGTCAAATAACTTCACATATCTGCTCCATAACTGTACACTGTTTTGTTGACATTCTATTCTGAACTAAAGATTTGCAGCAATTCACTGAGACGGGTGTTAAAATGTTAAATAATAGGGTGCTAAGATACAAAGCTGCAAATAACTGGAAACCACAAATGGGTATCTATAGCAAATATATGGATTATAGCAAATCCTCCATATTAGGATAGAAATAACTTCAACTAGTCTGAAACAATTGAAAAGATGTATGCTAAGCCTCTTAAACCTTCCAATGAAGATGGGTGTTAATTTTCTAGGTAAATGGCCTCCTATCACCAGTGTTTCCATAGCTAAGGATTCACTTTCACATTTTTAAAACAAAGCCTTGATTTCCTGTTGTTAAAAGCAGCACTGCTAAACTTCCCATCAGTTTCGTAAACAGACTTTTAAAATATTAAAAGCAATTTTCTTGCACTCATGTTATTTAGTGATGAACACATTCCTATCATCTCTACCTATCTCCAGCACTCCAATGCTGCATGCATATTTATTTGGTGGTGTCCTACTGAGTTCAAGAGGATGTACTCCCAATTTAGGATTGAGGCCTACTTTCTTGATCACTCATTGCCTTCCAAGTTATGTGCAATTTCCAACATCATTCTTATAGGTTGGCAGCCACACCAGCTGTTGCCACCCATATTATTCTTTGACATATATTTAGTGTAAATGCAAGGCACAGCACAGACTTAATGCATGAAATAGTTCCTGCCCAGCTGACTTATTATCTGTAGCAGGAAAACAAAGGTGAAGGGAGATAAAAAGGGTTTAATAAAGCAGTAGCACTGAATAGATGGGAAAGCACTGAATAGATGGGTGTATTAACAAGACTGGAGAAAGAATACAACTTTAAATGCCATAGACAGAACAATTCATGTCTCTCCCTCTCAGACACACACATACAAAGTCCTATTTTCTGCCACAGACTGTGTTCAATTTGTGATCCACAATCTCCCTCAAATCCTTATCAGCAGACCTACAGCTCAGCTAGCCTAGTTATTCTTTCTAATACTATAAGTACATTATTAAAAAAACACCGGCTATGTTAATAGACCAATAAAGCATAAGGAAACATAGTTCTTAACTTCAGTACCATCAGTGTGATGGTGGGATGGGGATGCAATGTTTTGAGAGTCCACCTAAGCTATTTTGTTTTACTACTCTTATGAACAAATACCAAGAAATGAGACGATGTCTAGAAGTATCACCAGAGTTCTTCCCAGCTGCTGTTCCCTTGGTTTAGCAAAAGAAGATAGTGAATGGTACCTCTCACTACCTCTGGGTGCAGTTTCCTGTTTCAGGAACTGGTGACCAATGACCTTTTGGTGATAAGCGAGCAAGGGTCTACATACACCAGCTGGGAAAAATGTGAACTGGCAGGCATGTAAGAAAGGGAGGGCTACCGTGTACATCAGCCCTCCCTACCATGGTGGCCTCCAGGAATATTGAAACACAACTTCCAGCATCCCTAGTCAATATGGCTGGGAATGCTGGGAATTGCAAGCCAGAATGTCTGTAGGCACCAGGTTAAGGAAGTCTGGAAGTTCATGTCTAGTAATATCAGAGCATATCATGCAAAGATACCTGTATTCTGTTATCAGAGTAAATTATAGATATTCTCTACATTTGCTCATTTTTACAAATATCTGGCTTTCTGTATTCAAGGTTTCCTAGAATACAGAACATTTGGTAAGAAATGGAGAATACTGGAGATTAGGTTTAAATGACCAACAGAGATGGGGGTTGAAAACTGTGCAATGTACTAATTTTACAGCCATCATTATTTATTAATTATCTCAATATCTCATCTTTTTTTCCCTTCAAATAGTCCAAGCTTTCCAGAAATCACATTTCCTTTGCAATTTTTTTTCTGGCAAACATCAGTGCAAGTTGTTGCATTTTAAAAGAGAAACACTGAGCTCTCAGTGTCAAACCTTGTATCTCCTACTTGTTTGCTCAGTTTGTCAGATCTCACCCAGCTCTGGATATAGGTGAGACCTATTAATAGCAGAAAGCATGTGCCAAGAGCCCACCCTACCCTCTTCTAAGATGTGATGGAGTGAAGGAACTGTCCCCTACTGTTACAGTTAGCTTTAAACCAGGGGTCTCAAAC